GAATGGGCCGCTCGGTGGGGCCGAACCCAGCTGCATGCAGCAGATTTCGTACCCCCCCCTTTCCCAATCCCCCCCTGTCGCCCGGCCCGATCCCTCGTCGGAGAAGACAGTCGGCGGCAAGCCCAAGGGGGTAAGTGAGAGGGGCGAGGCCTTCTCGGAAGGCTCGGGAGCCCCGCGGCCTCCTGCAGGAGCGTCTCGAGCCCTTGCCGAAGGCACAGAGGAGACTTCTCGGGAGACGCGAAGCCTTGCGAGAAGCCCCGCCGCCTGCTGAGAAGGCCTCTTCCCTCTCACTTCCGCCCCCCTCCCTCCCTCGCTCGCCGCCAGGACACCTAATTGTACGGGTCCCTTTCCGTTGTTGGGGGCTTGCAGATAGGCGCCAACACCAGAACGTGGGGCGGGGTCGAGGAGGGGAAGGTGGTCCCAGGTCCTAGATTTGGGTGGCGGTGGTAATCTTTCAACAGCCCGGGGAGCCGGATAGTTCCACCATCACAGACATTGGGCGTCACCCGACAGGGGGATGATCAATGGGGGGGAGAAAAATATACTTTTCCGGACCTGAAGGCCCCCCTGTAGGGATCCAAAGAGCCCCTTTTTTCAGGGGCCCCTTAAGGGCCTCTGCTCTGCAGCCCTCGGTGCTCTCCCCAACTACATCGCCCCCCCACTACACGACGCCCGACGTGATCGGGATCATCCCCCCCCCAGAGACACCTCGCCGATATTGATTGGCAATGTTGCGTTGTGTTTATGTGTTTATTGTGTCACGTGATGTTTCTGTTTTCCTGTTCTCATGTTTATGCACGTTTAGATTTTAAACGCCTCGCCGATCGTGGCGTTCGCGCCCATATCCGGGCCTCCCGCCCCCCTCCCGCTGCCCCCAGAAAGGGGCCAAAGCTGGCCCCTTGCCGGCCCCACCCTGGACCTCGTGGAACACTGCACGGGAAGCTGCGCAAGGTATCGGCGGCGCGCCCGGGGCAGTGGCAGTGGCAGTGGCACTGGCTTGCCATATCAAAGGGCCGGCGGGTGCCCAGCAAGTGGGCGCCGTGTCCCGCCCGGGGGGGAGTGGGAAGGGGAAGGATTTCACAGAGGGCGGCGGGGCTTCCCAGGAGCCCTCCCCCATTCAGGACACCCCCCTTCACCACCCACACGACAGAGCACGGGGAGAGGCGGAGGACTTCCTCCAGGGGGCGTCCGCTCACCACCTCGCCGATCCTGGCGAAACCCATCCTGGGCCCCCGGCTCGGCGCAGGCCTTTTTCCCGGCCCGGTCAGGGAGGCATGCACCCATCCTGGGCTCCAAGTGGACCGCCGAGGTCGCTGAAATCATCGGCCGACGGCCCCCAGCAGGGGGAGGAAGGCCCTGAGATCCAGGCGCAGGGGTTCGCACGGATCGATCCGGCTCGATAGATGCTGCTTTTTGACGAGCAGGCTCGGGCGACCAGCGCTGCCGCAGGCACCCAAAAGAAAAGGCACCCGACTCAGTCGGGCACCTTAGGGAGCTGCGCAAGACGCCGCGCCGCCAGCGCCGCGAATTCGGACACGCCGCCACCCGCGCAACGCACGCCATGCAACAAGAGCAGGGCTTGCCCCCGCGCCGGCAGCCGCTCCGTCCGCCCTGGGCACGCGCTCCTAAGCGCCTCCGCCCGCGCCGCTGCGCTGGCGCTGGCGTCGCTGCGCAAGGATGGGGTCTGGAGCTTTGGCCGTGAGTTTCGACGAGGTTGCGCTCGCGCTTGCGAAGTCGGACCTCGAGGGGAGGGGGGCGGGGGCGGACACGTCGCAGAGAAACACAAGGGGAAGGACCCAGAACTCAGACGTCGCAATTTTTTCGCAGCGAAGGCCCCGCATGCGTCGCAACCTCTTCCCTGGGGGCCTGCGGAACACTCACTCGGCGGCCTCCTGAGGACAGGGCGTGTTGAGCGGCGCCACCACGGAGCCCCTGCTGGGGAACCAAAATGCACCGACAGATACCGCTACCCCCTGGACCTCACACGGGGCGCTTTGTTGACCAGGACTTCGAGGCTAATCCAACCGCGGCGACGAAGGCCCCCCAAAAAGCCCCAAAAGCGGAAAGCGAAGGAATGGTAGCGGCATGGGTACATCCCTAAAGATCCTATGTCGCGATGCATTCCACGCGGGGCCGCCGGAAGTCTCGACCAACCCCCCAGGACCAGCTTTCATCCTGACTCGTTATTTGACACGCCCTGGGCCCAGCGAGGCCCTCCGGAGACCGATAACTGCGAGAAACGCCCGTCCTGATGTTTGCCACCACGTTGGGTTTCTGGGCCCCCCCCCTTCCTGACCTGCAGCGGTGCATCCCGAGTTCGCAACGCAACTGCCGGAACGCTTCGCCGCCTGGCTGCAGCGCGACGACCGGGCCCGAGGCGCCGCCGGCCCACGGCTCCGCCGAGGGGGCCGCGGCCTCGAGGGGCGGAGCGGCGAAGTGGTCCTGGGGAGGAGGAGCAGGAGGAGGAGGAGGAGGAGGAGGAGGAGAAGGAGGAGGAGGACGAGGAGGAGGAAGCGGAGGAGGAGGAGGAGGAGGAGGAGGAGGAGGAGGCGGGGAGAGGGGAGCAGGGGGAGTGGGAGGGGGAGGAGGAGGAGGAGGAGGAGGAGGAGGAGGAGGAGGAGGAGGACGACGACGAGGAGGAGGAGGAGGAAGAGAACGAGGAAAAGGAGGAGGAGGAGGGGGCGGAGGAGGAGGAGGAGGAGGAGGAAAAGGAGGAAATGGAAGAGGACGGGGGGGAGGAGGAAAAGGAAGAGGACGGGGGGGAGGAGGCGGCGGAAACGGGGGGGGGCGCAAATAGGGGTTGGGGGGCAAGGAGAAAGGAGGAAGAGGAGGAGGAGGAGGAAAAGGAAGAAGAGGAGGAGGAGGAGGAGGAGGAGGTTTTGACCAGTCAAAGACCAGCCGCACGCGTACTGGCTAGAGGTTTGAAAAACGCGCAATTGCGCCGTCCTCAGTAGTGGTCCGAGAAGACCGAGAACAGGCTGAGGAAGGCCACCGCGATGAAAGCCACCTCGAACAGCGAGCAGGCGAAGACGTCGGTCACGCCATCGAAGCCCTTGCGCTCTCGCCTGCTTAAACATGCCCACGATCACTGGGAACTGCCCCCCGAAGAGCTCCTGCCGCCAGCAGCGCCGTCGACGCCTCGTGAACCCCGACACCCACCACAAGGCCAGCATGCTCGCCAGAGAACCGCTCGACCAGACGATCAGGGCGCACATCAGCAGCAGATGCACCACCTGCGCCGTGGGCTCCAGCATCGTTCCCGTCGTAGACGTCCTTGCCGCGAATGTCCGCCACCTCCGTCCCGTGCGCACTGGGGCGGACCTCCGTCGAAGACTCCAGTACCAGCCGATCGCCCGACACACCGTGGGCCCCGAACGCATGAGCCAGAAAACCAAGGTCCCCAGCGGGAGGGTGCACCAGCGGAACAGGGAGTACAGCAGCAGGCACTCCAGCAGCACTGCGGACACCCATACCCCCAGCAGGAAGATCTCCAAAAATACCGCCACGAAGCCCTTCATTGCCAGGGTGGCCCGCCTCCATGAAGCCGCCCTCGTCCTCGAAGCCGAACACCGCCGAGCTGAAGACGACTGCCCCGCACGAGCACCGAAGCCCGTGCCGCCGCGCCGGGACAGGGCCGAAGGGCAGCCCCGCCTCCCAGCCCAGCCGCGGGCCGGCGGCCGCCCAGGCGATGCCGCTGGCGGACGCCGAAGCGAAGCCTCCAGGCGGCACCCGCGCGGCGTGCCAAGCGGCGTTGCGGCGCTGCCTGGAGCTGCCAGGGACGCGGCGCCCGCTGGCCGCGCACTGGAGGGCAGGCCTGGACGCGAGCTCGCGGTCGCGCCATGAGCCAGGCACGCCACCAGCGCCAGCGCGGAGGCCGATGGCCGCCTCAACAGCAGCCCGCCGCCACTTTCGAGCGGCGCGGCGAGCCGCCGTCGGGCCCAGGGAGTCGACGTCAGCCTGCCGCTGCGATGAAGGCCGCCACGCCGTCGGGCCGCCCGCCGCCGCCATCCCCGAGAGCCAGCAGCCCCAATCCTCCAAGTCCCTCACGCCCGCCAGGTTGCCCCGTGAATCTGGGGTCTCGGGGCACGCCGGGGGGCGAGGTCCAGGGGCAGAGGGCCCACGGAGAGGCATGAGCCAAAATGGCGACGGAAGGAGGAGGAGGAGGAGGAGGCGGACGAGGAGGAGGACGTCTCTTGGGACGTCTCTTGAGGTGGGGGGGGGCGCCCGTGGCGCCCCCCCACCTGAGTCGGACGCGCCCCGCGCCCGCGTGCGGCGGGCGGCGCGCGGCCGCCCCGCGCCCCCGCCCGCGTGCACTCAGCCGCCGGCGCTCTGCGCCCGCGGCGCGGCTGCCTGCGCCGCCCGGCGCGGCTAGCGAGCCGAGCTGGTGGCCCGCTCCTCCGCCTTGCCCCAGCGTGCTGAGCGGGGCATGGCGCGCAGCCGTTCTGCGGCGCGCGCAGCTGGGCTGCCCACTAGCCCAGGAGGAGGCGGATGGAGGGCTGCTGGCCTCTTCCTCCTGCGGCTGGTATGGCGCGGGCCACCTTGGCTGCCTGCTGGACCTCGTCCGCTCCTGGCCGCTGCCGCGCCCGCCGCGCCGCGCGCGTCTGCTGCCCCGCGCCTCCTCCGGCGTCTGCGCCTGCTGCCGCGGCTGCCGCTGGCTGGGTCGCGTGGTTGATCTGCTCCTCCAGGCGGTGCTTCCAGTCGTCGCGGCAGATCTTGACCTGTTCAACGGGTGGTCTTGGCGCAACTGCTCGGTCGTCGCCAGCGCTGCGTGCCTCATCCTCGCGGGGGCTGGGCCGAGCTGCTGCAGCAGCCAAGAGCAGCGCCACTGCCTCGGCCGAGCCCATCTTGGCTCTGCCGTCGCCTCCGCTGTTGTCGGGCTGGCCTTCGCTGCTGTGGAAGACCAACGGCTGGGGCTCTGGCCTGCCCGTGCCGCTGAGCCTGAGGAAGGTCCTGGCCATGCATTGCTGGTCGTCGGAGAGTTCTTGCCCTTGTTGCCTTCGCTCGCGGATCTTGGCGCGCAGGACCTCACGGAGGGAGACGCTGCGGCCCCGAGCAGTGTAGCACACCTCCTCCGCGAGCTGCTTCTTGTAGTCGCAGTATTCATCATCGTCGGTCGCGTTGAACAAGCAGCCCAGGTCCTTGGCCTCCATCAGCTGCAGCACGACAGGGACGCACCAGTTCAACCACATCTGCTGCTCGGCCAGTTCCTCGTTCTGCAGGAACTCGCGGGGCACTCATTCAGCTCCGATCAGGCCGATGGTCGTCGTTAGTTCATCGAGGCGGCCCCTGCGCCCTGAAGGCACCGAGCGGGTGCAGGTACTGGCCGAGGACTGTCCTGGGCGGTCATTCTTGATGACGGGGGACTTGGTGACGATGGCGTGGTCCGCAACGACGTGGAGCTCACTCTGGACGAGCTCGATGCTGTCGTCCACATGGCTGCGCGCACTCCTGTTGAGTATTTCCTTGAGCCTGGCCTCTCGGCGGGCTGCAGCAGCTGCCATGGCCTCTCTGGCCGCAGGGGATCCTGTCGCGGCCTGCGCGTCTGGGCCGGCGTCGGGCCCCCCTGGGCGGCGCGCCTTACACTGTGGATTGCCTGTAGGCCTCTGCGCGGGACGCTTGGTCGCAATCCCGCGCGCGTCGGCCTTGGTGCTGGCTGGCTCCTGCGCCTTCACGGGCGGCCGGTCTGTCTGGGCTTCTCCGTGCTGGAGGCCTTGATCTTGCACCACACGCTGGTGTGCAGGCTCGAATACTGTTGGGGGAGCCCTGTCGGCGTGTCCCGCTGGCCCCACGGCGGTCTGCATGAGCTGCAAGTATTCATCCCCCTCGGGTCGGCTGCGCCCGCCTGTTGTATCCCTTTTGCCAGGCCTGCACATTGGTTCTTCGGCGTCGGAGTTCTGCTCCTGGTACAGCTTCGGCTTGGGTCTGGCCGACTTGTTGTGCTCCGAGTGTCGGCAGGTCCATCGCTGCTGCTACCTCGGCGGCCCCTTGCCTGGCTGGCAGAGACTTCTGGCCTTGCCCTCCTTCTGCCTGCGCTACTGTCTGAGCTCCACCTGTCACCAGTGGGGCTCTCCGTCGATGATCTCGATGGCCATGGCGACGATGGGCTGGCTGACTGACCTTCTTCTACCCCGTTGGCTCCACCTGCCCCGAGATCTCCTCCTTCTGGTTCAGCTCTTCCATCCCCACCACGTGGGCCTTCGTCGTAGCTGGCGTTGTCCTTGTGGAATCTGTTGTCCCCTTCCACCCCTGGCTGGGCCCCAAGGTGCTGTTGGGCTCCTTCGGCGGGGGCCTGCCCAGCCTGTGGTTGTACTTGTGGATGGGCCTGGCCTACATCGCCTTGAGATGGTGCCGCATCAGGATGGTGGTAGTTGTCGTCGTCGCTGTCCGGTTCGGGTACCTGGTCCCAATTAGGCCATGGTCGCCTCCAGCCTTCCGTGACGAGCCAGTTGGGAATGCATGTTGGCCTCGGCAGCGCGGGTGCTGGTGCTGTAGGTGGTCCATGCCAGACTCCTGCGGCCGTGCCGTGGGGCGGAGCCCACTCTGGTGGCTGGCCTCCAAGGTTGGTGAGGTCACCGTTTAGCGTGTCCGTAATCATTCGGTGGACCTCGTCAAGGTTGGCCCAGTGCATCGCGACCACGTGCAGCCATTCACTAGCACTAAGGGACTGGATGTGGCCCGTCAGTCGCTGGCGCATTGTCTGCGTGGTGGTCCACGCGACATTGATGATACCACGCGCGTAGTTGAGGATGCCGTCGGTGCCTGCGATGAGCTCCACTTCGTCGCGCAGGCGCCTGTGAATCGGGTTGCTAAGCAGCGCCGTGACGTACTGGTTGCCCCATGCTGTCCATGATGTTAGCCCTGCTTCTGGCGAAGTGAGGTCGTGCACCCACGTGGCCGCACATTCACTTAGCTGTCGGCAGAGGGCGCTCAAGCTGGGGAAAGAGTGGGTTTGCCTGGTCACCGGCGCTCCGTGCCCCCTGCCCGCGGGGTCGTTGCTGTTGGATTGCTCCAGCCTCCGTCTTGGGCGCGGGGACCTGGATCTCGGAGCGCCTGGCTCGACAGACCCTGCTGGCTCAGCCTGCGTTGGGGCCTGGAGCGGCCCTTCTGCACGAGCCGCTTCGTCAGGCGCATCCGTTTCACCCTCTGTTGCAGCAGCATGCGCTGGGGCTGGGAGTTGTTCCGCTGCTGGCACCGCTGCATCTGGCATGCCTGCGGTGTCCGCTGCTGCTGGGCGCTGAGGTCCTTGGAGGACCGTCACGTGCTGCTGCTCGTTCGGCGGTCTTGCCGCTGCCGCTGGAGTTCCCCCTGCTGTCTCGAAGGAGTCATGGTCGGTGAGGGAGTCGTAGCCTGGGTCGTGCTCCTGTGGCTCGGCGCTGGCGTTGGACTCATCCTGGTCCATGGGGATGTAGTCCGCAGAGCTGTTGAGGTGCCCTACGCGGAATGCCTCATGATGGTGTATCTGCTGCCTGGGGATTAGGAAAGCCCTTGCCGCGGCCTGGTAGGCAGTGAGGCGCTGGATCGCTATGGTTAAGTCGTCGCAATTCTGGGCGTGCGCGCGGGCCAGCCGCCGTTCTCGCAGGATGTGCCCACCGTCCCATCCTCGGTCACATTTTTCTTGGGCACGTCGTTGGAGTTCGGTGTCGTATTCGGCGTCACTGACGCACCTGAAGAACCCATCGAAGTCCTCGCGCCGCAACTCCCGCTTGACGTATTCCACGCGTAAGTCGTTCCAGCTGACTTTGCCCGCGTGGCTGTCGACCAGGTCGGTGATTCACCAGCTTGATAGTTGCTCCAGCGCGATCTCAAGTGGCTCCAAGTTCTCCTGCGCCACTACGCCATGGATGTCATTGCCACACTCCTTCAGCTTGACGTGGTGGCTCGCTGGGTCCTTTCGGGGTTGGGCAGCCTCGTCGCTTGGCGCTTCGCCTTCCTCCTCCTGGTGCTGTGCTGCTTGTCCTCGGCGAAGTGCGGGACAGCGTGACTGGTTGTTCGTCGGGGGGCTCAAGTCCAGCAGGCTGTGCTCGCGTTTGCGGTTCCCTCTGGGCTCGACCTCCTCGTTGCTGTCGGTGTCGAAGATGCCCGCGAGCCCGTCTTCGCACGTCCTCGATCCCACGAAGGACATGATGCGCTGGCCTGGGTCGGGGATCTCCTGTCTTGCCACTTGCTCGTCTAGGTCGCTGGTGCTCCTGTCGGAGTACCCTGCTCTCGCGATTGGTGGGCTGCGTGAACGTTCAGGTCTGCACGATTGGGAGCTGTCTAGTGGCCGCGCACCTTGGCTTGTGTCGGTTGGGGGAAGGGCACCCCTCTGCATCCCTTCTGTCTCGGCCGGCTGCGCCGAGACCTTGGTGTGTAGATCGGGCCCGTCGTCCTTGGTGCTGTCCTCGTCGTCTGGCTGCACACTGCGATATTCGCATCGGCGCTTGGTGGAGTTGTCGGTGCTGGTGGTCCGTGGTCTGCGTGTGCCCTGTCTCGGTCGTTGCTTGGGCCGCTTCGGTGCTTCAGCTGGGTCGGCGGGCTCTCCTGAGCTGCGCTTGGCTGAGTAGCAGGTTGGGTCGCAATTTACTCCTGAACCTGGGGGGCCATCTCCAGGATTTAGCTCGAGACTCCTCTCATCAGCTGAATATGCTCCTGAACCTGGGAGGCCATCCCCAGGATTTGGTCGAGACTTTGACGAGCAATTTACTCCTGAACCTGGGAGGCCCTCTCCAGGATTTGTATTGCTGAGACTCCTGCCGCCATAATTTACTCCTGAACCAAGGAGTCCGTCTCCTGGATTTGCTCGAGACGTCGGCATCAGCGTTCCAGCCCGCGGGTGCTCGCCTTTGCTTTTGGTTCGCTTGCTCGTGCCCGAGTGGTGTGCAGGAGGAGGAGGAGGAGGAGCAGGAGGAGGAGGAGGGGGAGGAGGGGGACGGGGAGGAGTCGGACGAGGGAGAGAAGGAGGAGAAAGAAAAAGGGGCGGAGAAGGGGGCGGAAGGGAGGGGCGCAAACAGGGGTTGGGGGGCAAGGAGAAACGAGGAGGCGGAAAAGGAGGAGGAGGAGGCGGAAAAGGAGGAGGAACATAAGAATCGCGCGCCACTGAGGGGAAAGTGGGGGAAGAGGTTCGACGGTCCAAAAAAACTCTGGGGGGGGCCCTTCGGAGTGGACTTGTCTGTCACCCTAGCAGGAGAGACGCCGACCTGCCAGGGGCCAGCGACAAGGCCCCCCCTGGGCATCAACAGACCGCCTCCTCTTCCGCCTCCTCAACAGGAGGAGGAGGAAGAGGAGGAGGAGGAGGAGGAGGAGGAGGAAGAGACGGAGGAGGAGTAGGAGAATGAGGAGGAGGAGGAGGAGGAGGAGGAGGAACGCCCGAAGTCCACGAAAGTACCGAAGTTCAGGCCGGGCGCCGGGACCCCGTCCGCGGGGGAGTCGTCGGACACCACGTCCCCCCGGCCGCGGAAGAGGCCGCCCTGCAGCGCCGCCCGGAAGGGCGGCCCGAGCCTGGGGGAGCAGAATGATACCGGTACGACTGACTACTTCACAGACCCATCTCGGGATGCGTACGACAGGTTCGTGTTGTGACGACTCCTGCGCTGGTCTCTGGCAAGGCGTGGCCGTTCAACCTTGAATCCCACCAGCCATTCGGGCGACAAGTGGTCTAAGGGTGAACTCTTGTTTCATCAACAACCTCGCTTCCCCTCGGAGAGGGGAACCCTCCCCCTCCCCTCCCTGAGTTTTTTGTTGCGGAGGGGGACCGATGTTTCAGAGGGTCCCTTTTCGGCAGGTGGGAGGGCCAATTTCTGACACTCCTCGCGACCATCGTGGCCCCCCCTGGGGGGGGGTGGGGGGGCAGACATCGAGGACCCCCCCCTCTTTTGACCGACCGCCTTCACGATGGCACCAAGAGGCCCTCCAGGGCCTCCCAAGAGGCCCCCAAGAGAGCTCCATAAGCGCCCCAAGAAGCCCCAAGGGGGCTCCAAGAGGCACCCGAGAGGCACCCAAGAGGCCCCCGAGCGACCTCAGAGAGCCCAAGATGACCTCCAAGGTGGCTCAAGATAGCCCAAGCTGGCTCAAAATGGCTCCCAAGATGCCCCGGGAGGCCCCAAGACCGCTCCAACACAGCTCGAGATGGCCACGGAGCCTTGCGAGGAGGCTACAAAGAGGCCAAAATCCAGAAAAATAACAACCTTGAGGAAATGTGCGAATTTAGCCTTCTCGCCATTTTGTTTTCGATGGCCTTCCGAGGCCTCAACACGCCGTCCAGGCCGGCCTCCCTCGCTGTTTGGCTATGCGTGTTCTTGGTCGATCTCATTATCGATCGGTCTCACCATCGATCTCACGACCCACCTCTCTACTGATCTCACAATCGATCCAACTATCGATCGCACGAGCGATCTCACGATCGATCTCACTATCGATCGCACTGAATCGACTTCACGATCGGTCTCACGATCGATCTTATTACCGTCCTGACTATCAATCCCACTATCGGTCTCACGATCGATCTCACAATCGATCTCAATATCCACAGCATGAAGTGTCAAGCCGTCCACTGAGTGGTTTTTTCTCTTTAAAAATGAAAACTCCTCCTGTAGAGGGACATGCCCGACTCAAGCCTTGAGCGATCGGCGGTTTCTCGATCACCATATCGCTCAATTGCCCGAACCGGGGTAGAACCGCTCAGATTGCAAAGCCCAGGTCGTCGGAGATCTGAGTCGGTCGCCGACAGCGCCCGCGGGGGCGAGGCCTCACCCAGGGCCCGCGCTCGGGTCCGTTCCGCTGGCCCCCCCCCCACGTCTGAGGTTCCCGTTCCTTCCCCTTTTCTTGAGCAGGGGCCGACCGCCTCGGCAGTTCTGGAGGCCTGCCACGAGATGTGCTTAGAACCCGTACACGTTCTAAGAACAAAGACCCTGTCCTGAGAACACAAACCCGATGAGTTAAAACAGGACGGTCTCAACCAGAAATGCTCTAAGAACAATTGTTTGGTAGGACTACAGGCACGCCAGGACCCTTCGCCACTGCTTAAAACGACGCGAAGATCGGGACAGAATCGGATCGGGATAACTCGAAATCTTTGAGAATCGGCGGGTTTGGAGGTTGTATTGGGCGCCGCGGCCGCTCCAGAGCGTTCCGGAACGCTCTGAGAGCGCTCCGGAACGCTCTGGAGCGATTTATCCCGATCCTAGCCCTGTTTTACTGCTTGATCCGCTAAGGTTCCTGTTCGACCAGGATCTCGAGGTGAGCCCGGCAGGGGCGACGAGGGGCAAGCCACAGCACCGGTGAGCGTGGCCCTCCCCGCCACGAGGCGCCTGCCCTCGAGCAACTCCGCGACCACGAAGCTGCCCGTGTCCTCGGGGTGGGGAGGCGGGCGAGCAGCTCCTTCTCCACCTCCTCCCCCTCCTCCTCCAGAACCACCGCCTCCTCCCCCTCGATAACCGCCTCCTGCTCCTCCTCCTGCTCCTCCTCCTCCTCCACCTCCTCCTCCTCCTCCTCCACCTCGCTGCTCCTCCTCCTCCTCTACCTCTTCCTCCCCGCTCCTCCTCCTCCTCCTCCTCTACCTCCTCCTCCTCCTCCTCCTCCTCCTCCTCCTCCCTCCTCTCCCCCTCTCTCGTTTCATCCTCGCTCCTCCTCCTCCTCCTCGCTCCTCCTCCTCCTCCTCCTCCTTTTCCTTATCCTCCTCATCCTCCTTCTTCTCCTCCTCGCTCCTCCTCCTCGCTCCTCCTCTTCCTCCTCCTCCTCCTCCTCCTTTTCCTTATCCTCCTCATCCTCCTTCTTCTCCTCCTCGCTTCATCCTCGCTCCTCATCCTCCTCCTCCTCCTCCTCCTGACCACCACCACCACCACCACCACCACCACCACCATCATCATCATCATCATCATCATCATCATCATCAGCAGCAGCAGCAGCAGCAGCAGCAGCAACATCATGCGCCGAATCAGAATCATCAAAATCATCATCAGCTGTATCAGAAGCAGCAGCAACATCATCAGCATCGTCGGCATCATCAGTATCAGCATCAGCATCATCAGTATCAGCATTAGCATCAGCATCATCGTCATCAGCATCATCATCATCATCATCATCATCATCATCATCATCCTCATCATCATCATCATCCTCATCCTCACCTTCCTCCTCCTCACCGACCTCATACTCATACTCGCCGTCGTCCTGGTACTCCGTCCTCATCCTCCTCCGCCTTCTCCTCCTTCCTCCCTCCTCCTCCTCATCCTGCTCCTGACCAGTATCATCATCATCATCATCATCATCATCATCATCATCATCATCATCATCATCATCATCATCATCATCATCAGCATCATCATCATCATCATCAAAACCCTTACCATCATCAGCATCATCATCAGCACCAGCATCATCATGATCATCATCATCAACATAATCGTCATCATCAGCAGCAACATCCTCATACTCATCAAAAGCATCAGCAGCAGCATCAGTATCATCGGCATTAGCATCATCATCATCATCATCATCATCATCATCATCATCATCATCATCATCATCATCATTATGAGCATCGTCCTCATTATCAGTATCACCATCCTCATCTTCGTCATCATCAGCAGCATCAACATCCAAGGCGTCATCATCATCATCAACATCATCAACAGTATCATCATCATCATCATCATCATCATCATCATCATTATCAGCATCAGCATCCAATGCGTCATCATCATCATCAACATCATCAACAGTATCATCATCATCATCATCATCATCATCATCAGCATCCTCACCATCATCATCAACATCATCATCGTCATCAACATCATCATCATCCTCACCTTCCTCCTCCTCACCCACCTCATACTCATACTCGCCGTCGTCCTGGTACTCCGTCCTCATCCTCCTCCGCCTTCTCCTCCTTCCTCCCTCCTCCTCCTCATCCTGCTCCTGACCAGTATCATCATCATCATCATCATCATCATCATCATCATCATCAGAAACCTTACCATCATCAGCATCATCATCATCAGCACCAGCATCAGCATCATCATCATCAACAGAATCGTCATCATCAGCAGCAACATCCTCATACTCATCAAAAGCATCAGCAGCAGCAGCATCAGTATCATCGGCATTAGCATCATCATCATCATCATCATGAGCATCGTCCTCATTATCAGTATCACCATCCACATCTTCGTCACCATCAGCAGCATCAGCATCCAATGCGTCGTCATCAGCATCATCATCAACATCATCAACATAATCGTCATCATCATCATCATCATCATCATCAGCATCATCATTATCAGCATCAACATCGTCATCCTCATTCCTTATCCTCCGTGTTCTCCCCCGCCGCCTCGACCTATCCTCCTCTTCCTCCTCCTCCTCCACATCCTCCCCATCCGCATCATCACCATCATCAGCATCATCAGAAGCGTCGTGGTCATCTTCAGTATCATCATCATCGTGACCAGCATCATCACCATCAGCATCAACTGCATCATCATCACCATCAGCAGCATCAGAATTATTATCACCGGCATCATCATAGTCAGCATCGTCATCATATTAATCATCAGCATCAGCATGATCAGCTTAAGCATCATCATCAGAATCTTCATCAGCAGCGTCAGCATCATCATCATCCTCATCATCATCAGCAGCAGCAGCAACATCATCAGCATAAACATCAGCATCAGCATGAGCATCAACAGCATAATCCTCATCCCTCATCCTCCTGTTCCTCTCCATGTCACCTTCCTTGCTCATCCTCCTCCACCTCGTCCTCCTCCTCTTCCGCGTCATTATAAACATCAGCATCACCATCTTTACAATCATCATCATCATCATCATCATCATCATCATCATCATCATCATCATCATCATCGTCAGCCTCATCACAACATCATCATCCACATCATCATCACCATCCTCATCATCACCTACATCGCCATCATCATGATCGGCATCCTCCGCATCATCATCATCATCATCATCATCACCATCATCATCATCATAATAATCATCATCATCAGCAGCAGCAGCAGCAGCATCATGAGCATCAGCATCGTAATCATAATCAGTATCACCATCATCAGCAACATCATTATCAGAATCGGTAGTATCATAACTATCATCATCACCCTCACCACCATCATCATCGGCATAACCATCATAATCAGCATCAGTATCATCACCATGAACATCGTACTAATCATCAACATCACCAGTATCATCATCATAATCATCATTCATCCCCCGCCTCCTCCTGCTTCCTCCTGCTTCCTCCTGCTTCCTCCTGCTTCCTCCTCCCTCCACTCCTCCTCTTCCTCCTATTCCTCATCCTCCTCCTCCTCTTCCTCCCTTCCTCCTCCTACTCCTCCTTCTCGCTCGCCCCCCACGAGGGAGTAACGGAAGAGGAAGCGGAGGGCGGGTCTAGACCCCCAGGATGCTGCGACGGAAGCCCCCAGGGGTCCTGCACCTTGGGCTTCAGCTGCTCTCGACCGCGAGCCTCTGCGCTCCTGACGGACTTCTCGGCGCTCAGCAGCACCTCCAGAAGAAGAGACAGGCTGTCACACCGCAGTCAAAATGGATCGCGAAGATGCAGGATGAGGAGGCAAGCAAGGGCCTCGGGAGGCCATGCCGACACTTCCCGAGTGGAGCGCGGCCAACAGAAGCGGCAAAGGATGGGCCGAAATGAAAGGATGCAAAGGAAACCTGAGAAAGCAGCGCATCCTTGACAACACTGTTGACTGTAGACTTTCGGAGGCACGCGCGAATCTCTTGGATCGGCGATGGGCTCCCCGCAGGGGGCGGCGCCAGAGGCGCCGCTTGGGGCGGGGGCCAGGGCAGACCCAAGACATCCTCGCGGACCACCGACCGTCCCAGCATTCCCACAGGCCTACCACGACATGTTCTTAGAACCAAACAAATGCTCGATGAACAAAAACAATGCCTTCCGAAAAAAAGCCCGATGTGCTTGAACAAGACATCCCCAGCCAGAAATGTTCTGAGGACAGCTCGTGCAGACTACATAGAATTCTCAGTTCTCAGAGCACTCTTCGGTGGGCCTCTGGGCAAGCCGGGGGACACTTCGCCACTGCTTGATGCTTGGCCCTCTTCCCCGGAACCTCTGGCTGGACCGGTGGCTCCGCTCCCCTCGGCCACATCACCTCCGCGCTCCCCTCCACGACGCCCTTGTCGAGGTACACGCCGCCGGCCATCCTCGCGGGCCAGCTGCTGCCCGGGGTGGCCCTGCCCCAACAAGTGGCCGAGGCTTTTTTCCTGTCCAGGGAGACCCGTGAGTATCCTTTTTAACCGATCCCCATCCCCAGAGGCGTGGCCTGGGCCCCACTGGCCGATTTACCTTCCTAGATGAGGATATAGGTCGTTCCCTTCGGGTTTTGAGGGGCGCATCCCCAACCGGGGTGGCACTGTGGTGGGGCTCTCGAAGGGGATGGGGTTGGGGATGGGGATCGGTGAAACGATACCGAAACAGGTGGCCGAGGCTTTCTGTCCAGGAAGGCCCGGGCGACATCCGCCAAGCACAGCACCCCCCACCGAGAGGCCCAGAGAGCCCCGCGGCCCAGCACGCGGCACGACTGCGCAGGTGGGGGCACCCGTGGCCAGGGGCACCTCTGGCAGCCCCCAGACGGGGGGGCAAGCAGCAGGCAGGGAGCGGCCATCCCCTCGCCATCGCTCGGACGTCCATTTCCCGTGCATTTTTCGGTTTCGTGCGTGTTTTTTGTTGCTCGATGGTCCAGGATCGTCCTCAATGGTTCTCGCCGAGAAAAAATGCACACGTCCGAGCGATGCCAGGTCCCTGGAAGGGCGTTTTGTGCTCAATCTTGACGGCTCGGGGCAAGGCCGCGCTCGGACCCCCACAGAGGACACCGCCGCAAAACCGCTGAGTGGGCAGCTTTCCTCGCACCCAATCGAACTCACAAGCGCAAATTTTCCTTCTTCGGGCCTGTCGTCGTGCCGGCCTGGCCGCCACCTCCACCTCTTCATCCTCATCCTGCTCGTAGTGGTTATTATCCTCATCCTTCCCGTCGTAGACAGTACCACCATACCTAACATCATCATCATCGTCATCGTCATCATCATCCACAGCAGCATCAGCATCATCAGCATCAGCATCATCATCAGCATCAGCATCAGCATCAGCATCATGGCCATCATAAGCATCACATTAATAAGTTTCAACAGCAGTATCAGCGTTAGCGTTGTCATCATCATCGTCCGCATCATCAGCATCACCATCAACATCATCATGTGAACTTCAGGTGTCCTCCTCCCCCTCCTCAGCATCCTCGGCATCATAATCAACCGCAGTGTCGTCATCATCATCAACATCATAAACATCTTCACCAGCACTATCACACGCGTCAACACTAACATTCCTGTCAGTATCCTAATCATAATCGTCATACACGTCACCATCAACATCACTACCAGCACCACCCTCACCCTCATCCTCCTGATCAGCCTCATCATCACCGACAACATTAACATCACAACCACCGACCACCGTCATCACCACCATCATCATTGTAATCATCATCGTCATCCTCATCATCATCATGATCGTCATCATCATCATCACCATCATCATCATCACCACCATCACCGTATCTCAATCCTCATATACATCTTCATACTCGTCGCAATCATCATCGCTATCATCATCAGCATCAACATCATCATCATCCTCATCCTCATCCTCATCACCATCGTCATAATCAGCAGCAGCGGTATCACCATCATCCTGCACATCATCACCGCCACCACCGTCGCCAGCATCAGCATCAGTATCATCATCAGCATCGTCATCATAATCAGTATCAGCATCATCTCATCAGCATTATCATCCTCAGCAGCAGCAGGAGCAGCAGCAGCAGCAGCTGCATCATCACCAGCATCATCACCATCGTCAACATCACCATCACCAACATTACCACAAGCCTCACCGGCATGTTTGCAGGGCGAATTATTTCCGAAACGGGGGGCCGCCTGGATAAATTGCACATTGGCAACTCGTCGTTCAGAGGAGCGCTTCCCGTAAAGAGAAAGAAAACTTGTAGGGGCTGATACGGGCTGGGCTCGGGACGTGTGAAACATGTGCTAGCAGTGCGGATCGGTGTGCAGCGCGAGCGTGGTTGTATAAGTGCTGTGCAGACAAACAAGGGGCTTACAGCAACCTCCTCCGTAACCATTGCGACCCGAACCAGTTCAGAGCCCTTGTGTGTGGGCATGTCGGAAGAATCCCCAGCACGCTTCGATTTGCAAAGTGCTTACAATATCTCATTGCCGAGATTCATACCGATAGCCACATTGAAATGGTGCAGATGCAATCGCAATGCCAGACCCCGCTTGCAGCTCTGGGTCTACATTGGTAGCAGAAGCAAAGTTGACCACGGCAACTCCAACAGTGAACACAGGTGTCGCAGCAGCTGTTGCAGCAGCTCGGCAGCCACCCCTCGCGGTGTAGCCGAGCACCCAAGCAGCGCGTGCACGAGACAGCTGCTGTCGCCAGCCAGCCGCCCTGGCGACTGGTGCTGCCGCAGCGGGCAGCGACAACAGAGGAGCAAGAGATGGGAACAAGATCCCCATCCAGTATCCTGCCATCGCTCGGACGCCCATTCCCCGTGCATTTGTCGGCTTGGTGCATGTGTGTTTTTCGTTCGCAGGATGAGCCAGGATGCTCCTCGAAGGTCCCCGACGAGAAAAATGCACACGTCCGAGCGATGCCAAGGTATCTCGACGACACCAACCTATGAAGACCGATCGCAGGGAAGTCGGCATCTGGGAGGTCGGCACCGACACCAACACGGCGCAGCGCCGCGGAGCGGCACTGCGGGCCGCTCCCTGAGGGCAAGGCCCAAAAGGCGTGCAGGGAGCTCGAGTTCGATCGTATCAACGGCGACGAGTCAGCGCGGGTCCTCTCAGTTGCTTCAAGGGGAGGCTTCAAGAAATCGACATGCTGGAGACGTCAACGCTACTGGAGACATTCGTGGAGCCAGCATGCGTCCGGCACAAGTTCTCGGAGATTCGGAACTTCGACCATCGCTTCAGCCTAATCAGCAGCAAGCTGAAAGCCAAACACATCATAGTGCCAGACGGGGTCCTGGCCGACCTCTGCATCAAAGGAGCTCGACTGCCACCAGAACGCCAAGCTAGCATGCTGCATGCCCAACGTCGTCGGCAACGAGTTCGACATCGTCAAGCTGCAGAAGAAGCTAAAGATCAACCTACCGAAGATGGCAGTCGTGGAAGGCCACAACCGCAAAGAGGACAACGCCCACGGAAAAAGCTACGGCGTACAGAAGCGTAGTGGGAGCCGTCAACATCGACAAGCCTACGCCACGGATCACCTAGAGGACGAGGCCTCAGACTCCGAAGCCAGCTCCGACGTGCTCAACGACGTGCCCGACGAGCTCCAGGACGTCCTGGACGCCGCGGAAGAACACGCGGCTGTCTTCATCAAGAGGATGGTGCGGGCAAAAAAACAATACGGTAGAGGGAAACAATTAGTGGACACACCCCCGTTCCCCCCAACTCACAGTAGGCACGCGCGGGGAAGACTGCGGTCGAAGTGCAGCTCGTTCAACCCACAAGCAACATTGTGATCATTGGGGGGCATGGGCAAATGAATGCGGCATGGTGCGGGCAAAAAACAATATCAAGGAGGCCCAGGTGGTTCGGGGTCGGCAGGCGACCTCGCCAAACGAGACGGCGGCGGAGCGCCGCCGCGCAAGGACGACGCCAAGATCGCCGAGATGGAGGCGAAGCCTCACCGCGCGGCCTGCGGCGAGCAGGGCCCCTGGCGCGGCGACCCGCAGCGCACGAAGAAGCAGCACGGCCCGGCAGCACGCGGGGGCCCTCATTCCTGGGGCAAGGGACTCCCCACGAGAAGGGCGTGGCGGCCCACTCGGCGCCGAGAGCCGGAGGCCTCCCGAACAGGGCCCGAGCAAGTGGGGCCGGAGGACTGCGCCGCACCGCCGACGCATCGCCGATGCACATCGCCGATGCACCGGTGATGCATCGGCGACGTCGGCCACGCGTCGGCGCAGTCGGCGTGGAGAACACGGGGCTCCACATTGAGCCGCACCGCCGATGCGTCGGCGAGGCGGCGCCATCCTCCGGCCCCGACTGCTCCGACCCCAGCCAGGAGGCCCATAGGAGAGCGGGGCAGCCGCGGGCACCCCACGCCGCCCAGAGGACGACCGCGCCAGGCTGCCCCCGGGGATGTCGTGGGCCGAGCTCGCGCGGGCGGCCAGGCCTCTCCCAGGCAGAGCCTAGCCGGCCGGCCCCTGCGGCTGCCCGCGGAGGTGGCCGCGGTGCGCTTCTGCATCCACAGGGGCAGCCTCTGTTATGAGGAACATCCTGGAAGCCTCGCGCGGCAACTTGAGACCCGACATGTACGTCGGATCCATGTCGGAGGTACGTCGGGTTCACGTCGGGCAGCGTCGGAATTACGTCGGACAGACGACGAAGCATCGCTGCGCGAGCGTCGACCCATAGCTTATGGAGCTGACGTGTGGACTAGATAATACAACTATCACGCTCCGCGCGAGGCCCCCATGATTTTCCCCATCACCTCTGCTTCACGGCCCTCGACCAGATCAACGCTGGTAACCGTCTACGTCGAAAATCGAAGGGGGGGGGAAGCTGACCTTCGACACGGCCTGTTCAGAAAGTGCGTCGGAGGCCTCGACTGGTAGAACGGCTTCAAGGAGAAGCTCGCGGCGCTCGGCCTCTGGCATCTGGCCCCTCGCGTGCCCGGAGAGGGAGCTGCTCAGGCTCGGAGCCACCGGGGTCGCCGACAGCCCCAGGGCAGCGCTCGCTTCGTGCTCGGTGCGCGCCAGGGCCTTCGCCGCCGGGAGGAGCAGGCAGCAGCGCTCCTGACGCGATGCGCCAGGCGGGCCAGGGCTCACTAGGGGGAAAACAACCCTACCTCGCTTTTGACCACCCTCGCTTCCAAGAGATACCAAACGATGCCAAACTACGGCCTGTACTGGTCAGGCCGCTTGACGAGGAGGCGCGTGGTATGACTTGGTTTTGCCTGGACGCTCACGGACTGCCGCTGCTGCTGGCGGACACGCGCGCCCGGCGCCCCTCGACGAGCACGTGCCGCGGGAGCTCCCCTCGATCGGAGAGCATGCCGCCGGCGCTCGCCGCGGGCGCGGAGCCCGGGCGAGCCCTGGCGAGCCCGGGCAGGCGCGAGACGCGCGCGCGCGCCCGGGGCAGCCACCCGGAGGCGGCCGTGCACGAGCGCCCACGGC